CTCAAGGATGCTTCTGGTTGAAGGCTTAGGGGTTTAGAGTTTAGGGTTTAGGGTCTAGAGTTTAGGGTTTAGGGTTTGGGTTCAGGGTTTAGGGTTTGGCTTCAGGGTTTAGGGTTTAGGGTCTAGGGTTTAGGGTTTAGGGTTTAGGGTCTAGCGTTTAGGGTTTAGGGTTTGGGTTCAGGGCTCAGGGTTTAGGGTTTAGGGGTTTATGCTTTGGGATCCCTGCAAAATCCGTATTCGGGTTGATAATTCGAACCACAAAAGAGGTTCTGGTAGTTTAAGGCAGGGTATAGGGCGTGGGGCTTAGAGCTTTACGGCTCTGGGGCTTGCGGCTTTGGGGTTTGGGACTTCAGGGTTCAGTGCCAAGGGCTTCAGCGTTTCGGTGGGCGTAGCCAAAATACCAGAATGCCGGTTCGCAGACTCCTCCCTGTCAGGCTCAAGCAATCCTTACATGGGAATTTTCGGTAGTCTACAGAACTGGAAAAGGGGTTCGGAATGCATTACAGCATGCGGATATCGGGATTATACGGGGATGCTATTGACTGCAATTTGGGCGTCTCGTGAGCTTTGAGGGTGTAGCACAGAAAGGCTTCAAGAATGCAAGACATTGCATAGTAGGCACATTTGCTGACAGGATCGAAAACCCTAAACCCAAACTAAACCCTAAACCCTAAACCCTAAACCCCTAAACCCCTAAACCCTAAACCCTAAACCCAAACTAATGCATGCAGAAACCTGAAACCCTGAAGCCTTGAGAAACGATTTCAAGTGCAGAGAACCGACGGTGTAGGGCTTAGGGTTTGAGGTTTAGGGATTTAGGGGTTTAGGGGTTTAGGGTTTAGGGTTTTAGGGTTTATGGTTTTGGGTTTTAGGGTTTTAGGGTTTTAGGGTTTAGGGTTTAGGGTTTAGGGTTTAGGGTTTAGGGTTGCGCACAGACTGTTTCTCCAGCAGGTGCGGCAGGTAAACACAATATCAAGCGTTCAAATCCTATTACAAGAGTAGAGGAACTTGGCCCCCTTGGAGCTTGCAGGGTCTGTACACGCAATATCGGGGCCGGAATACTGAGTAAACCCTAAACCCTAAACCCCAAACCCTAAACCCTAATGCTATCCCCTTATGGTTCCTGATAAGCTCAAAGCCCCATTGAATTGTTCAGGCCCCTGTGTGAATTCACCCCTACTTGGAGGGTCGGGGGACTTAGTAAATGGTTATGTTATAGACTTATAAGTACTATAACCCCAATTAGGGTCCCTTTTAGATTACTTATAAGTCTACTTATTACCTACTTACCAAGTCGCCCGACCCTCCACGTAGAGGATATCAAGCAAGGCTGACATGCTAGAAAGCAGCTAAACCCCTAAACCCTAAACCCTAAACCCTCCTAGAGGACCTCAAGCAAGGCTGACATGCTAGACAGCAGCTAAACCCCTAAACCCTAAACCCTCCTAGAGGACATCAAGCAAGGCTGACATGCTGGAAAGCAGCTAAACCCCTAAACCCTAAACCCTAAACCCTCCTAGAGGACATCAAGCAAGGCTGACATGCTAGAAAGCAGCTCAAGCTGCAACTCATAGCGCCCTCGGAGTTCGCAGGCCTTGGCTGCAGCGATGAAAGTGATGACGTTCGCCAGAACCTTCGGGGGTTTGGGGGTCATAGGGTTTCGGGAGGACTTTCGGCTTTAGGGTTTAAGGGGGTTGAAATTTTTGGGGATTTGGGATGATGGAAATGGGAAATAGTGTGGTTTTTGATAGTCTTTTTGTAGGGTCTTGGGATTGCTGTGGTTGAAGGCTTCGGGATTAAAAGGCCAAAGCCGCTTTGCATGTGCTTTTCCAGTATCCTCTTAGTAAAATGGGTAACTACTTGTTAGCAGAGCCCAAAACTATTATACAATGGTACTACTGGGGCCCCTGGTATACAGCCCAAAAAACTAAATGCTTGCAATAAAGCTGATAAACCCTTTAAAAATCACTTATAAACTTGATCAAGTCATAATAAACCTTCCGGAACTCTAGAAAGTTTAAATCGTGAAGACTCCTCTGCCCTTATAACACCCGATAAGCAATAAGCCACCAATTATCTCTGGCACTACTCCCCCGAAACCCTATACCCTAAACCCCTGAACCTAAACCCTAAACCCCTAACCACCGAAAACCCTAAACCCACCTCTGCTCTCGCCATCCTCTTGAGGAGATGCACTGCCATCTGCCACGCGGCATCCCGGGCACAAGCGCTGATGGCCTTGGCAGTTTGGACAGTTTAGGGTTTAGGGCTCTACAGCCTAAACCCTAAACTCTACACCCTATCCCTTACCGTCAAAGGACTCATAATTTAAGGCTTTTGGGCCCAGAGACCCTATTTTCAAAGGCTTTTGGGCAGTGTTGATACCAAGGGTATAAGCCCTAAACCCTAAAAACCCTAAACCCTAAACCCTAAACCCTAAAAGCCCTAAGCCCTAAACCCAAGCCCTAAATGGTTTGAGGCCTAAGGCTTTGGGGCTTAGGGTTCAGGGCTTGTCGGATGGTGGTCTCGAGCTTTCACAATCCTTTCCAAGGTTCTTTGGAGGCTTTTCATGCGGTTTTTTAATCGGGTTCTCAGAGCCTGGTCCTTCATGATTTAAGGGGCTTGGGGTTTGGGGTTTAGGGCTTAGGGGTTTAGGGTTTAGGGTTTGGGGCTAAACCCTAAACCCTAAACCCGGGTAGATTCAGGAGTTTACCATGGTTTGACTGCCTGAAGACTCAGGGTTCAGGACTTTAAGGACTCTGGGGTTTAGGGCTTAGGGTTCAAGGTTTAGGGTTTAGGGTTTAGGGTTTAGGGTTTAGGGGTTACGGTTTAGAGTTTAAGGCTTTAAGGGATTACGGTTTAAGGTTTAAGGCTTTAGGGCTGAGGGCTGCTATGTGCTTTCGGGGTCCGGTGACGCCTAGGGTCTTCGGATCTGGAGGGAAGTTGATTTAAGGTGTGCTCAATAATTACGCTTTTAGGGTTTAGCGTTTAGGGCTTAGGGTTATAATGACGCTGGCCGGGGTCACTGCTGTTTACATCTCATTTAACTGTGCTCACCTTACATATCACATGTAAACACCCATGCTATTTCCAACATCTGATACTCATAAACCCACGGGGCCAGTGGCTCAGCTCTAGATACCTATGTTTGGAGATTGCTGGACGGCATACTATAAAGAAAGCAAGGATCACAGACGGTCAAGGCAACTGTAGTGGTGCGCTCCCCACACCCAAACTCCACAGTACCCGGAACCCTAAACCCTAAACTCAAGTTCCCTAAACCCTAAACCCCTCTAGCCCCAGGCCCCAGAGCCCGATTTTTTCTAGACACTCACCGCCTGACCACCTACTGTCCTACATCGCTGCTAAGTGGCGGTGCAGAAGCTAACAGCATTCGGTGTGATGACCGTCTCCCGCATGCCTGAGAGCAGCTTGATGGACATCTGCCATCGCCTCAGTCGTCCAAACCAAGCTTGAAGGCCAAGGGGACTTAGTAAGTAGGTTATAAGTATAGTTATAAGTATAGTGATAAGTATAGTGATAAGTATGGTGATAAGTATACTTATAAGTAACCTAAAGGGAGTTGCCCCAATTATACCCCTGCTTATGACCGACTTACTAAGCCCCCTGGGCCT